TTTTTTGTGGGTGCGTTTCGTTTTTGGGGTTTTTTTTTTTTTTTTTTTTTTTTTTTTTTTTTTAATATATTTTTCCCCGTGGTTTAGCTGCAGAAGCTGTAGTAGAGACATCTCACCTGGGTCCTCTAGTGGAGAAACGCAGCAGCAGGGAGAAAGCCGGGTGACATTGCTGCACCAGCTCACCCGGGCAAAAATACGCTGCTTTTCCACTTGCTTGTCAACATATAATTTTTGTCCGATATTTTTTGTTCTTTTCTACGCCTCTCCCCTTGGGTGGATGAGGCTGAGGTGCTTTTTGTAGCCGTGCTGTTGATGTGGGAGATGCTTTAAGCCAGGCAGGCACTCGGAATGCAGGGCAGGACAGCAAGCGTAGCAAATCTGCCATAATATTGAGTCAGGAATAAACTGACTTCTCTGAAAGGATGCCGTGGAGTGCTCTCTGCTGGAAAGGCTCTCTGGTTTCTAGGATCTGACCACGGAGATGCAGGGATAAGCTTTTAGCCGTAAGATGCTTCTAATGAACATCAGTGCACTCAGGATTTAACATCTGCAACCTTTGCCTCTTTGAAGTTGGACTCTCCAGCATGTTCTTTCCACATGGATGTACCTTTAAGGGGTTTTTTTAGCTCTGTGATTATGTCCAAACATTTCAGTTTGTGCTGGTGTTTTTAACCCACCCTTGTTGTAAGTCTAAAATTTAGAGTCCGTCTGTAAGTGCTGCTGTTTTCGTGCTGTTTTCAGCACACCACATCTAGGTACTTTTTTGTTTCCCAATATTTTGCTGCTCCTGCCTTTCTTGTGCCATGAGAACACTTGGAAATATTTTCTCGAGTGGTTTTATGCTCCGTGGTGCTGCTGGATCTTGGATGGGGGGTTTCTCTAATGGCCCCTGTAAGCTGTGCATAATCCTGGCTGTAATACTGAATTAAATGAGGCAAAATATGGGCATAATAAGCCAGTCTGAAATAGTGGAATGATTCCATAACTCCATCCTGCAGAAGAATAAATTATTTACTGGTGACAGCACCTGGGCAGGTGTTCCCTGTCCTGCCCTGTCAGTCCCTCTGTGGTGGCTGCGTGTCCTGGTGCTGTCTGAGCAATGCTGACTCCTCTGTTGGTGTCTGTGATGTCCTTCCTCACCTGTGGCAGCTCCCCTGTCCTCCAGAAAACCCCAAACCCTTGTCACTTGGCTTTCCTGTGCTTTAGGGCTTGTCCTGAACTTCTCGGAGCTCTCTGCCAGTTTGGTGCAAACCTCAGCCTGGAGACTTTGCTGCCTCTCTTCAGAGGCCAACTTGCTGCTTCTGTGGGGTTTTCCCCACCCACAACTTTCTTTAATAATTCCCTTGGCATTCTCAGGGATCCAGGCAGAATAAGTCCCTCCAGTTCGTTTTTGTTACTTTTAAGCCCTGTTGCTGCCCAGCCCTGCTCGTGTCCAGGGATCCTTTCCTGTTCTTTCCCTGCATGTGGCTTCTGTTTGGGGTCTGTTGGGAGGGTCCCAGGGCAGCACACCCCATCCATCCTGCCTGATCCTCTCCTCAGGCTTGGCAGGCTCCAGAGGCTCTTCAGCTCTCCTTTTGTGCCTTAAAAATGCAACACCCAAGAGCATTGGGAATGGGAAAACTTTCACTTTGCACTGGTTCCACTTACCAGCCTTTGTCTCTGGTTGTCTGCATGTACTTTCCACAAAAAGTCAGGATTTTATTCTGAAGTCAAAGCTGAGCAGCTCTTCTCTGCCCTGATTTCTGAGAGGTAATGGACTAAAACCTCTGTGTTTTTATATACTAAAACACAGGATATTTTATCTACTCTGTATATAGAGAGAGTTTTTCATCAGCAGAGCCTCTGGTTAGTGACTCTTAGGAAAACAATAATAAAAGCCACCCCAAAATAAATAATTCTCCCTACTCTGTGGTGTATGTGGAGGGTGAGAGGTTTGTGTTGCTGCGTGTGAGTTTGTGGAGGAGATGCTTTGGGCAGAGCAAGGTGTGAGCACACGGAGGTGAAATGATTCATTTTGCCCATTGTGTTGCTTTGCACACTGCAGCATGGAAAGAACAAATGCTGGGGGGAGCTTGGTGGCAGATTTGTTATCAGCAGTGTCCAGGTGTTTGCAAATCAAACCTTACCTGCCTACAGCAGCCCCAGCCAAGCCCTGCAGCTGTGCTGGAGGGAAAGGTGCAAAATGAAGACACAGCTGTCCATGGCCTGAATTCCTTGCTCATAGCAAAAGCTGAGTTTCTAAGAATTCCTGATTTTTTCCCATCTTTGGCTCTGAGTGGGGGGATTGTGGTGGAGCAGCACCTTCATCAGGGAAGGGCAGTGAATCCTCAGGAGTGAATCTGCAGGAATTGTCACTGCCTGGAAGAGCAGGGCTCTGCAGGGAGCTCTGGGTCTCCCTGGGAAGGAAGTGAGGGAAAGGGAAGGAAGGAAGAGCTGGAAATGGTTTCCTGCTCTGAGGCTGTTTGTCAGAGTGACTGAGGGTGGCAATGCCAGACCTCCAAGGGGACTGGGACACAGATGGGAATCCCACAGTCCTTGAGCTTGGAGAAGACCTCCAGGATGGATCCAGCCTTTGACTGATCCCCACCTTGTTATCCAGAGCAGAGCCCAGGGACACCCGTCCCCAACAGCACCCATTTGTGTCTGGAACTGATGGACACTTTGTAAATAACTCAGAGTATTTCACTACAAATGAGGAAATTCATCAATATTTTATTAGCAGTGTGCATCTTCACCTGTGACAAAGTTCAAACACACAGAGTCATAATCTAAAACCTAACCACCTTTTTTTTTCCAGAAAATACCTGGACTAGGAGACCCATCCACCCACTTCTGGAATCCCAGAGTGGTTAGAGTTGGGTCTTAAAAATCACCTTGTTCCACATGGCAGGGGCACTTTCCACTATCCCAGGTTGCTGCAAGCCCTGTCCAACCTGGCCTTGGACACTTCCAAATAGTAATAATAATAATAATAATCCTGCAGTGAATGTGTGCTCTCATTTCTCCAGCCATGTTCTCACAACACAACTTGTCTTCAGCAGCTGTTTGTTGCTTTTGGAGTGGGTTGCTGTGTTTCCAAAATTCCCTACCTGCCGTGTGGGGATTGTTGGCTATTTTGGGAAAGCCAAAGTAAATGGGCAGTAGTGTTGCTTGACATCTTGACTATTCCACTTAATTGCTGTGTAGGCAGCTGCAGCAACTGGGCTTTTGATGTCTCAGTTGCCAGGAAGGAGGGGGAGAGAACGAAGCAGGAAGATACTGGGTTTATTTATTTTATTTTATTTCTTTTCCTTTCCGGTGAACCACCTGCTCTTCCAATGGAATTGTGCATCTTCCCCACCCCTCTTCCCAGCTGAGCAGGTTAAAATTACACAGAAGTTTTTTCCTCTGTTCCCACTGGCATTTTCAGTAGGCTGGAACAGGCTCTTGAGCCTGGCAGGGAGGGATCCTGGAGCTGGGGGTGGTGCTGGGAAGGAGACCAAAGCCTTGGAACTAAAGACAGGATCAGAAAACAGCAAGATCCAGCACTGACTCTGCTGGAGGAGTCACCTTTTTGTTTTCTGCCTTCAGCATTCCATAAGAAGAACTGGATTTTGGAGAACGTGGTGCAGACAGCATTTGGGAACCATACCCTCTTGCCTGATATTTGACATTTTCAGTCTTGGAAGAGCTGGAATTTTTGCCAAG